AATCTTTTCTTATACGTTTTGGATCTGAATAATGAAATTTTCATTTTTAAAAGAAATTGTATAGAGGAACAATTCTTATTACATACTGACCTCACAAAACGGTGAACCATGAATTTATTTTTATCTAGTTTTTTTTCCTCTGAGGTTTTTATGTACAGTTTTACAACTATAAAATAGAAGTTTACAGTCAATCATATCTTAGAATTCTTTGTACAATATGACTATCCGTAGTGTAAGTAGCTTTACAATCTGTTTACTGAGTCGGATTTTGAAATAAAGAATGGAGTTTTCATCAATACCATCGGTCATATCATAAATACTAAAAAATTCAAATGGTTCGTTAGTAAATATTCATAAAAACACTAAGGCAATCTGAATTTGGCACAATTAAAAAAACATTATAAAATAGTGTTATAAAATCTTAGAGTGGTGCGATCAATAGGTTAATTGGAGAAGGGTATTTATTATGCCACTGTAAAAGAGTAACAGTAATCAGTTAGTTGTATCATCATCCTGTTATCTACAAGGCTATCTGGAGAGTCACCCCACATGGATGGGTGCACGAGATCATTTGGGCCAAATTTTTAAAGCAGCTTTAAAATAATTGATTCCCAAATCAAGATATTAAATGCCAACTTCTAACTGGCAATAATGCTTATGGCTAAGATAGAAATGAGATTCTTCGCAGAAATGCTGACACAGTCCTATCTGTAGCTACTTGAATGTGTAGCTATAATTCCTTTTTCACATCTTACTGAGCAACGCTTCAGGTAAAGGAGTCCGCAGAATATGTAAACAGTAAGAAATAGTCCTAAAGCATTTGTAAAAAAATCACAGACCTGTAACATATTTACATTTATCTTGATTGTTATGACTAAATTATTCCAAGTACAATGAAAGTTCTTTAACAGGTAAAAGGTGGGCATTGTATTAGGGCAATCAATATTTCTTAATTATTTCAATTTGCAAGAGCCACACATTTTTACGCTGACAGTGTAATACCTTTACATACTTTTTTTTAAAAAAGCTTTCCACCTTATTTAGTATTTTAACCACTAATCAAAAAAACAATAAAATTAAGACTTTAAGAAAAAGAAATACAGATTAACAATTAAGAAAGCTTTTCTACCCCATCTGGAAATCCATTAAGCTAAAAATAAGTCTCCAAGAGAAGCCTGTTTCCTCTATGGAAGATATTTTAAAAAAGACGCAAATCAAATCTCATATTAGGCCAAAGGAATACAACTTTTACCGAAAGGTGAGTGGTCAGAATAAAGAATTTAATTGTCTAATCCTAATTCAAATTTGTGCAAGTGTCTACGATAAGACGCTTCTAATGAGCTAATTTTTAAAGCCTCATCTAATGAGCTAATTTTTAAAGCCTCAAGTCCACATCGTAACAATGATACCATGGATTTTTTCTCCTCTGCATTGTCATCTAGCCAACAGAGGACTATTGATCCTTCACTGGGAAATACTGTTTTGATGTTTATTGATCAAACTCTAAGAGGGGAAATTATCATTTTTGAATGGAAGGAAGTCATGAGTTATCACTTCTTGTAAATTCAGAACTGGGAATAAATATATGTTATGACTACCACATTAAACAAAAAAAATAATTAAATTTTTAAAAGAAAAAATATCCTAAATTAATTCATGTGAATCAATAATACACTGTGAGAAAGAACTTAAAAGTTAAAACATATTGTGTCACAAATATTCTGATTTTATAGGATTTCAAAAATTTGCTAACTTACAGCACTTTTAATATATATTTTACTTGACAAACTCATCATTATATCACAGAAAAACAAGTTGAAATGACTAACAAATTTATTTTAAAAATCATCGTTAGGTTTTCTTAAACGCAAGCTAATCATGCATTTAAATTTCTATTTAATCTTTTTACAATTTGCATTTTACTTAAAGGCAAAATTCACACTTATTAGAGTTACAAATTATCATGCAAATCTGTACAAAGTTGTCAACAGGCAAAGTCTTTATCTTGTGTCATGTCATGAAACAACACTCACTTTATTATCATATTAATTTCAAATGCTAATTTTCTCTTCATTAGATGTCAGAAAAGAAATAATGTGCTGTTGGTAATTTTATGAAGAATATGTTACTGAATAAGAATTTCAAAGAAAATAATACATTCAGGGTTGATATTTAAATTCTGCAAATGTCTAGTAATGCTATTAATTAGTTATGGCAAACTGTTATAAAAACTGGGCACAGGCCAGGAAGATTGGGCGAAGACAAGTAACATATTTGCAATATTTATCAACTCAGTTTATTGTTTTCTTAAAACCTGGAATTTTACAAAAATAAGTAAAAACATTTTGATATGAAGCAGTATTATGTCATCAGTGACTTATTTGGGCCCACTTCCTCGTAATGGCTTTCGGATGAAACAGGCAATTTGCTCATAAATAAATCTGTAATATCCCCAAATGAATCGACTACTCATTAAAAATATTTAGTATTTAAAAAAGTATATTTTTTCAGGCTGGCAGTGCATATGAAAAAGAAAAACCCAATTTCAGCTATCCCCAACCTTACCCCTGTACTTGAGAATAGTTCTACCCAGAACATAGTAGTAGAAAATTAAGTCTAGTTTTCAGATCTAGAAAAAAATTTAATCTACTTGCAGTTGGGATTTAACAAGTTTAGAATTCGCTGAAAAACACAGAACAAAACAGTGAACTATCTGAAGGACCAAATTATGATCTGTCCTTTTTCATCCTGCTAAGCTGGGTTCATGGTGGGGTTGGGGATGTTTTAATTTAGATCTACCCAGCTCAGCCACTCTATTTTTCTTTTACATTCTGATTGGAAACAGCACTCAGAATGTGGAGAATGTAAACAGTTTTATATTGTCCAAAAGGATGGCAGTGTAGGGAATGTGTGCTTATCACACAGCTGCAGCTCCCTACCTCACTTACCATGATAAAGTGCTCTGGGGGAAAAAAACATTACAACCCCAGCACAATCCAAAAACGGATTAGAATTTGACATAAGCTTCCTTAAAAACTAATCAATCAATCCATACTGTAATATTAGAATCTAGCTCTTAAGCAGGGCAGCATATAATCTCTTCAAGATGTATTTTCTATTGACTATGATGGTGTGAAAAAAAAATCTAACATTTTTCAGAACAGTAGCTGATAGAACTTTCCCCTATACTAAATATATCTCATTTTAAAGAGTCTAACACAATGCTTATTAGACAGATACACATCATGATCAGAGTGCAAATCTAAATTAATGAAATAAGAAACTGAAGAAGATATTCTGACAGTCTGCTACTTAAGAATTGTACCTGATACCCAGGCTTTTAGAAATTTACTTACATACACCATACAAATGCTGTTTTACTAAATCACCTATTATTGGAGTTCAGATTTAACATTTAAAAAACCAAGTGATCGTAATATTTGGCAAATTGATATATTTTGCATCAAAGTACCCTAGATATCAATATTACTTTAACATGCAGTATTGTAGCCAGTATGTCCTGGCTCATTCAAGGACATGTGGAGCATCACTACATTTTCTGCTTGATGTCAATGAAGAATTCTAGTTAAGGCCACACAGGTGAAGTTAACCTCTGATCTAACCAGGATGAACAGGCTCTACTGTGCCCTCTCCCTTTCGCAAGACCTTTTAGAGTCCTTTCCATGTTCAAAACTTGCAAAGTACTCTGCCTCCATAATATATATACCATAGGGAAACTTTTCATAAGTTACTAGATGTTTCCCTCTAAAAGTAAAGGATAGAATGAAAGGGGTGGAATGAAAGGAAAAGAGGGAGGAGGGGAAGAAAGGGAGGAGAAATAGAGAAAAGGGGGGTGAAGAGGGGAATGCGAGAGGGAGGTCAGGAGGGAGGAAGAGAGGAAGGGAGGAAGCAAGGGAAGGGAGGCATCATCCTCTTAGTGCTGTACCTAGGTTCTTTTATTTAGTTTTAACAGATCAAAGCTAACTGGTCAGTCTTAAGAATGAGGAACAAATATAAGAAATCTTGGCATCTATTAAAAGTCCTCTTCATAGCACACTATCACTTAAGTGTGGGGAAAGCAGGAGAACTCCATCACAGCGGAGGCCTGAGCCAAAGCAGTCCCCTTCTGTAATTTTTGAAAGTCGTCTTCTTGAAGATCTTCCTTTAGAGTTCTTTTAAATATAACTATCTAGCAATATATAACGTGTATTAGGTAGTATATGGGTGTATGTCAGAGGGAGAGAGTAGCGTCATGCAGGAAAAGAGAGCGAAGAGTAGCCCAGAGTCTCTCTGGAGACCCCGAAACACCTCCCAATACCCTTCACATTCCTCAGCGCCCCAATGAAGGTCTAAATCAGTCCAGTGTCTTGAGAACACACTGTTTAGAGATGCCTGAGAGGGGGCTCCGGCGTTGTTGGGCTTGAAAGTTAATTCTGCAGCCCCCGCCGGCAGAAAAACCCATCCCAGTCGCCAGCGCTAGACGGTAAAGGAAGAAAATTCCAGTCTGCTCCTAAAGTCGGCTTTTGCCTAAGTTTTCTCGTAGCCAGCCGTCACTAAGTGGCCCTGAGAACGAGGATGCATGATGCTGTGGTTTGGAGTGTCTGCTGGCATCTGGGCAAAACCACGTGAAAAATAAAAACCAGCAGCCCCCTAAACTCTGGGCTTGAGTCAGGGCTTTCTGCCCATCCCAATCCTACCCCTCCACCTCCGTCCGCTCATCCACCGCTTCTCAATACGCCGCTCCCTTCTCCAGTACCTTCTTCCCCGAGACTTTCAGTCTACTTTACCAGGACCCTCAAGTCCCGGTCCTTGCTAAGCCTCTCTCGCCCGTCTATACCAATCCCCGGTGCTTCCCCCACAAGGTAAAGCCAAACTCGCGCGTCCCCAGCCCCCAGTCCCAAGCAGCCCCCAAGCACCGCTTCCAAGCGGTCTCCCCGCGCGGCTTTCCCGCCGAAACCCGTCCCGGGCACTGGGGGCGACGCAGCGGGCTGAGCACTCACCAGCTGCAGCAAGCCGGGGACCACGACGAAGGGCAGTGGCCGCAGGCGCATGGTGCCGGCTGGCGCGGCGTCTCACGAGCTGCACGGCCTCGCCTGCCTCTCGCGCATCTCCACTTCGGGGGGCAGGACTGAGGACGCCGGGGACACCGCGCGGCGCTTCCCTCCCGGAATCCGAGCGCCGCACCGCGCCTTGCGGGCCGGTGGGCGGGCGGGGATGGGGGAGGGCGGGCGGACGGGAGGTGCCTTTAGGGTCCCAGCGCGCCCCTCCTCGGAGGGGGCTGGAAAGGGGCGCGCGGGGCCGCCAGAGCTCCAGCACGCAGCGTTGCGCACCCTGGCGCCCGGGGCTCTCGAGTCCCAGCGAGGAAGTGAGGGCGGGGGGCGCCCACGGGCCAGAGGCCGCGGCTCGGGCGCTGGGGTGCCGGGTTCCCGCGCCGGGTTGCTTTAGCGACCTGGCTCCGCCTTGCAATTGCCCCGCAGAGCTAAGCGCGACCCGGAGCACCGCGAGGACTGGCGACTCGTCCGTCCCCGCCCAGTAGCGGGCTGGTCCGGTGGCTCGGCTGGACCAGGAACACGCTTGCAGACCCACTCTGGACTTGCTGGGGAGTGGAGAGAGTGTCTCCCCGTGTGGATACAGGAAGGAATGCGCCGGGAGCTTGAGTGGTGGTGGGGGCGACAGGGTCCTGGGGAGGAGCGTGTGGGGTCTGCGACCCGGAAAGGCTAAGGTCGAGAGGTGGGGGTAGGAGCTCCGAACCCCCGGGGAGAGTATCCTACTCAGCCGCGCGTCTGGTTGGCAATGCCGGAACGAGGGGTGCAAAGTGTAGCTGGCAAGACTGGAAGGGATTGAGGCCGTTGAAAGTACAGGAAATAGAAGCTATGTCTAGGAGTAAAGGCAGAAGAGAGATCGAGCTAAGTCGCCGTCCCAAGCTTACTCGGGTTTATGGGTGGGATGAACGGTTCAGGGATTTGTAGACCCAGCGAGGGAGCTGAGGCACCTTCTGCCGGGAAGGAGAGGAATAGAAAAGACCCAACTGCAGTCTCTCAGGGGGGATATCTTGGAGAGAGGGGTTCTTCCCGTCTGGGCGAGACTGCAAACCTGCAGCCGCAGAGCCTCACCCCGATGTTGGGAAGTCTTTACCTACATGCTTACCCTTTAACCCTCTCGGTGCTGGACACTCAAATGGAAAAGTCTAAGGGCAACGGGATTCAGAGGTTCCCACATCTCCGGTGCATTTAAACATCGTCCTTCAACTTCCTTATTGCACAGATGGGAAATCTAATGTTCAGAGAGGTAAAGTTATTCCTCCAGGGCTGACTCTCCAGGCGGCTGCTTCAACAGAATAGCAAGGCAAGACTAGTTCCTACATTCAGAAATGCAGAGCTCTCACAGAAGAACCACACGTGCAGGCAAGAGAGTACAATTATGATTGATTTGCAACCTTTAAAAATAAAACACAGCAAAAACTGAGGTTTGTGCTGAATTTTTTTAGAGAAATGAATGTTTCCTCCTCTTATTACCTACCAACCTAATATAGAAAGGAATGGCCCAGGCCCACATTTGAAGCAGAGCAGCTCTATTCCTAGGTCCCAAGCACAGGAGGGTTGACTTGGGTGACTGAAAAGCCTTACCCTTCATTTCATCAGGGGCCAAGATTATTCAGATGGGAAGGGAGGTTATTCCAGAGAGTCTGGGATGTCAGCTGACTTTAAGGCCTGTTGTCCATCAGCCTGCCCATGGGGTATCTTTCTAGTACAATTCCATTCCCAGTGTGGTGGGAGAGAGTCAAGTCAGGGCCATATATCCTTCCTAAGTCCTTACATATCTGTTGTTTTATTTTGGGGGGTGGGGGGGTGGAGTCTTAGGGCTCTGTAGCAAATGATGCGCTTGCTTGCTTTATGCCACTTCTACTTGTCTTTACATTCTTCCTATTCCTTGCAACAGAATTAAAAAACAAGCATATCACTATATGCATGTCTAAATCTAGTGATCACCTGCTCTACCCCTCACCTCCACCAAAATTCTCTTTCCCAAAGCTTAAGCCCATTTCTAAAATGTTATTCTATCCTAGAATAATTTGCAAGAGATCTCCATGGCTTGTCCTTGTTCAACTTTACGTCCCTGGGTAGGGCTGCATTTTAGTCACAGACAAGCTTTGGGAAATGAGAAGGACTTAAGGGGAACGGGTTTGGCAGACAGGGAAGAACCCCTCTTTGGAGAGGTGCTGTTAGAAGAGGAAGGAAGGCAAACAGCTTTGCAAGATGCACTACCATATTTAGATTCAGTGTTTCTGCCTGTGTCTCAGCTGACTCATTTATAAAACCATAAGGTAAAATCCCTTCTTGACTTAGTAGTTTCTAATTCTGTTATCACTAACTCTTAAATGAGGAATACATGGCTTAACATACAATCAAAATAAGTTGATTAAGTGACTGACTTACTGGAATAATTCACTCTGTTCCTTCAATGTATTCATGTTTCTTAGCCATTTCTGTGCTTTGGGAAACTTATACATACATTTAAAAGTGAAATCTAAAGTTGGATTTGCTTCCTAGTAGTACTAACCACTCTCAAAAAGAAATGTGGTTATGGGTGTCGAATTCCAAGCTAAAAACTAAGGGACACAAGAGAATTTGTGTTCTAGGGATCAGACTGTGTAAAGAAACACCAACTGACCATACTAAAGACTGATGATTACTGATGATTTACTGCATTCCCCATATTTTACTTTATCATATAGGATAGTAAAATGAAGAAAGGGAGAAAGAAGGGAAGGAAAGAGGGAGAAAGGAACAAACAGGTAAAGACAGAAGACATCGATACACTGATGCTGTTCTTCAGAATATACAGTAAAACTAGGAAGCATGCAACAAACGAAACACAGCAGGCCATTCAGAAAGTGTAAGGGCTGCCTCCTATAATTGGAAAAGGAAAAAAAAATCACTGTTTGGTCAAAACAAATCTCTTTGGAAGAAATGAAATGTAAGCTGGCTCAGTTTCTGAGCGTGACCAAGATTAATTAGTTTGTGTGAGGGAAGTCATTCTACATGGGAGGAACAGGATGAGCGAAGGAGGGACTTCATATGAGACAAAGAGCAGGATGGACAACATGTGCACCAGACTGAATGGATGAGATGTTGCAGAAAAGTGAGAGGAAAGGGAGGTTAGAGGGTAGATTGCAGAGAACCCGAAATGCCAAGCTAACAGTTTAGATTTGATCTGTGGGAAGAAAGGAGCTTCAAAACATATTTTGGAGTAGAAAAGTCCTACATCAAAAGGCGTAAGTCTATTGATAGATGCATGGTAATACACACAAGATGAACTTGAGAATAAGATTACCTGAGAAGATGACCATTCTAATTATAAAGAATGAGAGTCATGAATGTGAGAGCTTTTAGAAAGGGATGGTGAACCAAACTTGAGGTTAGAATACTTAAACATTTTCCTGGTATATTAGGAAAAAAAAGAGATGTTTTAAACATTACTACTTTCTTAGAGGTACTTTAACAACTAGAGAATCAGATCATGACTCTTATTTTACAAGGATGGTTTTTGCAATATGAGGGGGGTGAAATGATCTTTTAATGTAGACAAGGAACAGAAAGTGTATGGTACTTAATTTTACTGCCATATGATGCCACCCTAACCTTTTTAAAAGGTAACTTATAGTCATATTTTCATTGTTATGAGAGCAAGTTGTCAGTTTGTGGCTTGTTTGTACCTTTTGTTTTTCTCTTGTGCTTCTCTCCACATACTTTCTCACCCTTTACTGCTCATTAGCATCATTATCAGAAAGTGGATAAGAATATAATATACTGTATAGCACTTCAGAGTTTCAGTGCATATTAGACATTAACCAGCTTTCTCACTTTACATTTAAGGAAACAGAAGCTCAAAAGGTTACATGGCTGGCTTCAGGGCATCTGAAGGAATGTGGGCAAATGTGAAACTTGATTCAAGCCCTTAGGTTCTTATTTTGGTGCTCTTTGCAATTCATCACTCTGCTTGGCCATGTATTTTTCAACTAGCCAGTAGTTATAAAAGTTTTGATGTAGTGAATGAATGAACCTTTCCCTACTAAGAGTTGTGGAAATGATCTATGGATGCTAAAAGCCCCACAGTCTTTCTTATTATCAAGAAAAGAGGTTTGACTCTACTGAGCCTGCAGCACTGATCTGGCAGTAATTTTAGAAGGTGAGATGTAAGAATTGCGTGGCATGTGGCTACTCCGCAGCTCTCAAAGATGTGAGATTCTGAGCTCAAGAGCGTGGCACCACTTCACCCCTAGGATAGAGGGAATTCTCAGGAAAGCTTTGAGCCTCTTAGGCTTCTATAATGACAAGCTGCTGGGCTGTTTGGCAGCAATTGTTAACTATTTTTTTGGTGTGTCACCACTCTTGTTCAGTAATTTAATATTCTTGAATTCTTATTAATTAGACTAGGATGCTGTTTTGCATTGAATTTCAGCCCTGATTGCACCTAGATTCACTGGAGATCTTAATAATCTGCAAAAGTGGGCTTAGTCTTAATGTTTTCATCCAGGATATTTCACCATACAGCTGTGCTTGAGAACAGTCATTCTACCAAAATTTGCTTTTTCCCCCTCCTTCTGTCTCTCTCACTGTTCACTAGGTGTCCATTTTGTCCCCTACAGAAGTGTAGCCACATAATTAATGACTAAGACTGCATACACTGAGGCTTTAACAAAACATTATTAGAGCCATTTACATTCTTGACTTAATAGGAACTTTCATGAGAGAACTGGGCATTTTCCTTGTAAATACTCAGGCATGATTATAGGATTTAGAAAGTTTTACCACATAAACTTATTGAATGTTCCAGGTTCAAACAATTATCAAAGAATTACCTTGTAGTTAAATTGTCTATTCCCCTACCATTGATGGCTGCAATACTCTCTTCACCATCTCTCCATGTGCATGTTCAAAGGCTCTGCCAGGCCTGTGCCCATGGACGATGCTATTGTCAACAGCCAAGAGGAGAGGCCAGAGGGAAAGGAGGATGGTAGTTCCCAGTTTGTCCTGTGAGGTGAAAGCACCTGAGTGAAGAGAACATCATTCAAGACTGACTAGGCAGAAGAGGACTCCTGCCTGAGGGCTAATATTACATCTGTGCCAAGTCAAAATGACTTTTATAAACATG